TATGCAAATACCCGTACAAATTATGGATTTTTATAATTGTATTATTTAAATTTGAAATATAAATTAATTTTAATTGTAAGAATGAATTAAAATCGTGAAAAATTAAAAATTTAATTAATTTCTAAAGTTTATTTTATTATTTTTGCTGGTCAAATGACCACGGTGTGTGTGACCAGTACCTTGCAACGCATAAAATTCAATCAATTAAGTACAAAATATCTATTTTTTTAATGATTTGTTATTTTTTAATATTTTAACAATTATTTAAAATTACTTTTTGATATTGCTAGAATTTATTTTGTAGATTAATATGTTTCACAAAATCCAGATTTTTTGAAATAAAAATTTATTATAATTGTGAGAATGAATTAAAACCGTCACTAATTTAAAATTTAATTAGTTTTGCTAATCAAATATTGATTAAAACTTAATTATTAAAGTTTATTCAAATATTTATGCTGGTCAAATGACCACAATGTATGCGACCAGTACCTATGCAATGCACACAAATTAATCAATTAAGTTCAAAATATCCATTTTATTTTAATTAATTGATGATTTTCGATATTTTAACATTTAATTAAAATCAAAATTGATAAAACTAGAAATTATTTCCTCGTTTAATATACAAAAACTGTTGCAAATTATAAAATTTTCACCAAAATCAATTTTTAGATTTGAAATAATGCTTAAGCCTAAGCCTAAATATACCCTAAGCCTAAGCCTAAGCACTTTTTTATTATTTAAAATGTCAAATTACCGCGATGTATGTGACCAGTACTATTCAACGCTTATGAATTATGTTCAAAATACCTATTTTTTTAATGTTTTGATATTTCTTAATTTTTTAACATTTAATTAAGATTAAATTTGATAATAGTAGGGTTTGTTTTCCAGTTTATTATGCAAAAATTCTTACAAATTATAGGATTTTTATAAAATCAATTTTAAATTTGAAATAAAAATTAGCATTAATTGTAAAAATGAGTTAGATCTATGACTAATTAAAAATTTTATTATTTTCACAACTGAAATTTTAATCAGAATTTAAAAATTAAAGCTTATTTAATTGTTGTCAAATGACACAGTATCTATGCAACGCTTGTAAATTAATCAATTAAGCTCAAATTATCTATTTTTTTTAAAGAATTGATATTTTTAAATATTTTAGCACTTAATTAAAATAAATTTTTGACATTACTGGAATTTATTTTATAATTCATTATACGAAACCTTAAAAAAATATTGAATTTTGTTAAATTTTGATATTTAAATTTGGAATAAAAATTGATTTTAATTGTAAGAATGAATTAAAACCGTCACGAATTGAAAATTTAATTAATTTTGCTAACCAAATATTGATTAAAACTTAACTTTTAAAGTTTGCTTAATTATTTATGCTGATCAATTCACCAACTGTAAATGACCAGTACCCTTGCAATGCATATAAATTAATCATTTAAGCTCAAAATATCTAACTTTTTTAATGAATATATATATATATATTTTTTTTTAACAGTTTTAACATTTAATTAAAATTTGTTATTACTAGAAATTTTTCGTAGTCTAACATACAAAAATGTTTTGATTCATTGCAAATCATAAAATTTTCATAAAATTTGATCTTGAGATTTCAAATGAAAATTAATTTTAGCTGCAGAAATGAATTTAATCTACGACAAATTAAAAATCTTATTAATTTCACTTCTCGAATATTAAAAAAAAAACTAAGTTATTAAAGTTTATTTTCTTATTTATGTGTCAATTGACCACACCGTAAGTGACTGGTACGTATGCAACGCATAAAATTTATGAATTTATTAGAATTTTGCATATTAATCTATAAAATAAATTCTAGCAATATCAAAAAGTAATTTGAATTAAATGACAAAATATTGAAAAATTTCAATTCCTTAAAACAAATAGATATTTTGAACTTAATTGATTAATTTACATGCATTGCATGGATACTGGTCACATACATTGTGGTCGTTTGACCAGCAAAAATAATAAAATCAAGTTTAGAAATTGAGTTTTGATTAAAATTTCAGTTGCGAAAATAATAAAATTTTTAATTAGTCATCGATCTAATTCATTTTTGCATTTAATGCTAATTTTTAATTCAAATTTAAAATTGATTTTTGCGAAAATTCTATAATTTGTAAGAATTTTTGCGTAATAAACTGGGAAAAAACCCTGCTATTATCAAATTTAATCTTAATTAAATGTTAAAATATTAAATAATATCAAATCATTATAATGTTAAAATATTAAATAATATCAAATCATCAAAAACTAATTTTAATTAAATTTAAAGTATTAAAAAATCTCAAATCATTAAAGAAATAGATATTTTGTACTTAATTGATTGAATTTTATGCGTTGCAAGGTACTGGTCACACACAGCGTGGTCATTTGACAAGCAAAAATAATAAAATAAACTTTAGAAATTAAGTTTTAATCAATATTTTATTAGCAAAATTAATTAAATTTTTAATTTTTCACGATTTTAATTCATTCTTACGATTGAAATTAATTTATATTTCAAATTTAAATAATACATTTATAAAAATCCCATAATTTGTACGGGTGTTTTGCATACTAAACTAGGTAAGAAGTCCTACTATTATCAAAATTTAATTTCAAAGGATGTTAAAAGTATTAAAAAATATCATTTAATAAAAAAAAAATTGATTATTACATACGCATAGTGCGGGAACTGGTCACATACATTGTTGTCATTTGACATCTTAAATAATAAAATAATGCTTAGGCTTAGGCTTAGGGTATACTTAGGCTTAGGCTTAAGCATTATTTCAAATCTAAAAATCAATTTTGGTGAAAATTTTATAATTTGCAACAGTTTTTGTATATTAAACGGGAAAATAATTTCTAGTTTTCTCAATTTTCATTTTAATTAAATGTTGAAACTATTAAAAATATCAATTCATTAAAAAAAGTTAGATATTTTGAACTTAGTTGATTAATTTATAAGCGTTGCATAGATACTGGTCACACACATTGTGGTCATTTGACATCTTAAATAATAAAATAATGCTTAGGCTTTGGCTTAAGGTATACTTAGGCTTAGGCTTAAGCATTATTTCAAATCTAAAAATTGATTCTGGTGAAAATTTTATAATTTGCAAGAGTTTTTATATATTGAACGGGAAAATATTTTCTAGTTTTATCAATTTTGATTTTAATTAAATGTTAAAACTATTAAAAATTATCAATTCATTAAAAAAAATTAGTTATTTTGAACTCAATTGATTAATTTTATGCGTTGCATGGATAACGGTCAGTTACGGTGTGGTCAATTGACAACATAAATAAGAAAATATACTTCAATAACTAAGCTTTTTTTAATATTTGAGAAACAAAATTAATAAGATTTTTAATTTGTCGTAGATTTAATTCATTTCTGCAGCTAAAATTAATTTTTGTTTGAAATCTTAAGATAGAATTTTATGAAAGTTTAATGATTTGCAATGAATCAAAACCTTTTTTGTATATTAGACTTTTTTTCTATAATTCCTAGTAATATCAAATTTTACATTAATTAAATGTAAAACTGCTAAAATATATATTTCATTAAATTAGTTATTTTGAAGTCAATTGATTAAATTTGTGTTCATTGCACAGGTACTGGTCGCATACATAGTGGTCATTTGACCAGCAGAAATATTAAAATAAACTTTAATAATTAAGTTTTAATCAGTATTAATTAGCAAAACTATTTTAATTTTCGATTTTTGACGGTTTTAATTCATTCTCACAAATATAATTCATTTTTATTTCAAATTTAAAATTTAAATTTTATGAAAATTCATTAATTTACTAGAATTTTGCATATTAATCTACAAAATAAATTGTGGTAAATATCAAAAGCTAGTTTTAAATAAATGTTAAAATTTTGAAAAATATCAATTAATTAAAAAAAAAAAATGGATATTTTGAACTTAATTGATTAATTTGTGTGCATTGCATAGGTACTGGTCACGTACCTCGTGGTCATTTGATCAGCATGAATAATTAAATAAACTTTAAGAATTGAGTTCTGAATGATATTTTAGAAGCAAAATTAATTAAACTTTTAATTTGCCACTGTTCTAATTCACTCTTACAGTTGAAATTAATTTTTATTTCAAATATAAGCGTCAAATTTTATGAAAATTCATTGATTTATTAGAATTTTGCATATTAATCTACAAAATAAATAGTAGTAAATATCAAAAACTAGTTTTAAATAAATGTTAAAATATTGAAAAATATCAATTCATTGAAAAAAAAATGGTTATGTTGAACTTATTTGATTAATTTGTATGTATTGCACAGGTGCTGGTCATCTACGGTTGCTCATTTGATCAGCATAAATAACTAAATAAACTTTAATAATTAAGTTTCAATCAATATTCGACTAGCGGGATTGATTAAATTTTTAATTTATCAGGGTTTTAATTCATTCTTACAATTGAAGTTAATTTTTATTTCAAATTTAAGTGTCAAATTTTATGAAAATTCATTAATTTATTAGAATTTTGCATATTAATCTACAAAATAAATAGTAGTAAATATCAAAAACTAGTTTTAAATAAATGTTAAAATTTTGAAAAATATCAATTAATTAAAAAAAAAATGGATATTTTGAACTTAATTGATTAATTTGTGTGCATTGCATAGGTACTGGTCACATACATCGTGGGATATTTTGAACTTAATTGATTAATTTGTGTGCATTGCATAGGTAGTGGTTGCATACATTGTGGTCATTTGGCCAGTGTAATTATTAAAATATGTTTTAATAATTTTAAATATCAATGGACTAAATTTATCTGCCTTCTCTAAAGGAGAGGGATGATTCACTTTATTGAAAATGAAGTGCAGATTCTCAACACTGTTGATCCTTGCATTAACTTTGACCTTTACAATGAGTTTCTCTTTTATGTATGGTTGAATAAACTCAGTAAATTTCCTGCATGTTCCAATCATTCTTTCCGTTGAGTTTCACACATGATTGTACCTTGTTAATGAGCTGCTTATAGACATCTTTGATAAATTTGATGACCACCGAACCAAAAGTAAAACTAAACCATAACAGAAATCAGATATAGGTGCTGATAAGAAGTATGCATGGTGTGACGTAAAACCTATTTGCTGCAAGCATAATGAGCCAAGTTCAATCTGCTTTGAGTAGTAATCTTCTGTGTATTAGTAACCTTGTCTTTCTTCTGTTTTTCAATTATTCTATCTATATTGTCGCTGAAAAATTTGCCTAACTTAGGAAATATTTCTTTTGCTGCGATTTTATAGAAACTACTGCACGAATGAGTTTGACTAAGTCAGCAAAAAAAAAAAAAAAAAAAAAAGTTCTTTTAGTTTTTCTAAGCTACTGGGTTCAGATTGAGATAGCCTCCGTAAATTTTGGCACTCAGTTTTAACTTTGGACAAAGGATTTTACGGTCAATGGAAATAGCACTGTTGCTTTTATGCATCCTCTCTATTAACTTTAGCTGTCAACTATCACCTTTCTTTTTGTTACTAGGAGTACGTGTTTATGCTAATGATTCTTTTATTATATTGTGGGAGATAGTCTCATGTCTAATTTCTTCTAGAAGACCCATTTGTTCAACTTTATCTTCTACGTTTAGTTGACTCTGATCTAGTACTTATAGCGTATTCTCAGTATTCTTCAATCTATGTAATACTTTTTATAGAAACTTGTAAAATTTCGTATTTGTTCATTTTTTTTTTAGAAAATATCTGTTTAATATCGTAACAGATTAATAATAACGTTAAAAGTATATTTACTTAAAGCACAATAAAAAATTGTGCCTTTACCGGATTTTTCTACTGAAAATCTAGCATTTTATTAGAAAATTAAATTGTAAGACTGTAGAAAAGGTATTCAGTGTTTATTTTTCTTGACTGTAATGCAATATAGAGAGATTATTAAGTACTAAAATTAAAGTTACGCACTATTTTAAAATTTATGAAGGTTTCGTAATGCACTGCTTAGACCTGGTTGTTTTGATCCACACATTACTATTTGTTTGCCCGATATAAAGAAGATATTTAATACATATATAAAGAAGATATCAATAGCACCAGTGAAGACAGTTGCGAGAGGGACACCTGGTTTTGGGGGGGGGGGGAGAAGGGGAGGGGGTAGTGACCTAGTAAATTTAGTGAATGAAAGAGCAGAAATAAGAAGACTGTTACTATGGGTAGCTTTGAATATGCACGTAATGATGGGCTGGAAAGACGGTCTCTAGTGACGACTCTGAGAGGATCCGAATACCAAAAGCTATTGTGCAACAGTCGAACTCAGAGTCTTCAAATGGCAAACTTCTGCGTTTGCACACACCCAATTAAAATTAAGCTGATTTGAGTTTATGGCTTTATTACGTCCTCTACTTAGCATGTTTTGATTTATATCACATACTGTAACCTGAACACTCGGCTCTCTTCTTACTATTCTTATTGCTATGTCTCCCAATTTTGACGACTTGGTGTCTTTGCCAGGAGTTGGGAGAAAGAGTGCTAATGTATTTTTAAATTCGGGACTTGGCATTCCAACATTGGCAGTTGATACTCATGTTTTTAGAGTGAGCAATAAAATTGGCCTTGTGAAAGAAAAAGACGTGTTCAAAACAGAGAAATCTCTTTTAAATGTAGTTCCAAAAAAATACCTACTCTATGCTCATCACTGGCTAGTTTTACATGGTAGATATGTTTGCAAACACAAAAACCCTCGTGTAAAACATGCATCCTGTTGATAATTCAAGCCAGCCAATAGCATACTCCCCATTTTGTTTAACTATGGACGCAAGATAATTGCTGTTTTTATCCTCTAATAGCGAATCTTCAACAACTGTTCCTGGAGTTACAATTTGCACTACATCACGTTTTACTATAGATTTATAGCCCCTGCTTTTTGCTTCATCAGCAGTTTCTAACTGATCGCAGATTGCTACTTTGAATCCTAAATCTATTAACTTATGAAGGTAAGATTCACTACTATGCGCTGGAACTCCACACATTGGTACCTCTTGCCCATACAAATTACCTCTCTTAGTTAGTACTATATTCAGCAACTTCGCAGCTTTAATAGCATCATCAAAAAACAACTCATAAAAATCTCCCAGCCTATAAAATAACAGATGATCCTGATATTGAGCTTTTAGGTTCAAATATTGCTCCATCAAAGGAGTATTTTTTTCTCTTACGAAGTTCATAACATTTTTAAATACGTTGCGTTAGCAATAGCTTCAACTTTATTATATGGATAACATAGAATTTACATAGGAATACTTTATACTATGCAAAGGCAATACAACTATTTTTTTAGAAAATTGTGCATATGCAATAGATCTGTGGTAGCCTCTTCTATAAGCCATAACTTATAACTAAAATTATATAGAATTTTGGCTTTTTGAAAAGCCCAAACTGCCATTTGCGGAAGGTATACATGTAATCTTTTTGCTAAATTGAATCACAGCGTAGAAATAGCAACCAGAGAAAAAAAACAGAAACCCTTGCCTATTTCTATCTTTGGGCAAAATTCCCTATTTTATTGTGAAATGGTGTACCTTTGAATTGTATAGCAAACTGAAAATACTTTTTTAATATTTTTATCAACAAATTAAGTAATTTACATATTATTCGCTAGTAGACAAAATTGTTCAACAGTTAAGTTTTTTGGACGCTCCCCTATTAACTCTGGCGATTTTAAATCACCGAAGTTACATGCTATATATATATATCGTAGTCATAGCCAATCTTCATCTCACTTCCCTCTCCAGCGACAACAGAGACCTGATTAGCAAAGATTGTTTTACTAAATGAGCCGATAAAACCAGAAACAGTAGAAGGAATTCAATACTTGCAATGAAAGACACCCAGTTGTTGAAGTTAACGATAAGTTCATTGCAAATAGCATCAATTTGTCTGGTATACATCTAATTACTGGCCCTAATATGGCTGAAAAAAGCACTTTCTTGAGGCAAAACGCTCTCATTGCAATTTTAGCTCATATGGATTCATTTGTGCCAGCAGATAGTGCACATATTGGAGTGAATGATAAGATATTCAGCAGGGTTGGCGCAACGGATAATATAACGGCTGGTTATTCCACCTTCATGGTGGAGATGATTGAAACAGCAACCATAGTCAACCAAGCAACAGACCGTTCCTTGGTAATACTTGATGAAATTGGTAGAGGAACAGGAGTGTATGATGGCTTATCTATTGCTCAGGCGGTAATTGAACATATTCACAATGTAAATAAGTGCCGCGCTATCTCTGCAACTCATTATACTAAAGTAAGCAAATACTTGAAAAGTGTCAAGTGTTTCTGTGTGAGAATAAAAGAATGGAAAGAGGAGGTGATCTTTCTACATGAAGTAGTTGAGGGCGTTGCAGATGAGTCATATGGAACACTCGATGCTAGTACACATAGGGAAGCATTATTGCTGCTTAAGGAAAGCTCCAATGATTTGATATATAAACACAAAGTTATGAAACAAGCATTCTCTTCTTCAGCGGACAATCGTAGTTTTAGTCAGAGCAAATTGAACATTGAAAATTATTTACTAAAAAAAAAAAAAAAAAAAAAAAAAAAAAAAATAAAATTGATGTGGAAAACGAATGAATTACTTTGCGAAGTGTAAAGTAAGTTTAATTGAAAAGATAAATAAAATAATCTCTAATATGGTAATAACTATAGCCAGTGCAGTAGCAGAGGTTGAACGAATGTCTATTTTGTTGAGCCAAGTAAAGCATGAAACTCTACTAACAATGCAAGTTCTAAACGAGCATAAGCCCCATTCTAATGCACCTTTACACCACTCATGGATAAAACCTACAGTAAGTATTGCAAGAAATATCATCATAGACCAAAATCCACAATAGCTTATTTTAGATAAAGAAATAGCGCAAGGAAAAAGAAAAGCAATTTCTAAGTCAAATATCATAAATAATATTGAAACTAAATAAAACTTAATGTCAAAATTTTTTCTTGCTCTTGATAAAGGGTTAAAACCGCACTCATATGTAGAAAGTTTTTCACTATCTGGTTTGCTTATTGCAAGAAACATAGGCAATACACCCAAAGCAAGAGATAGTATAATTGACACGCAGATAAAAATTGCTATAGCTAAATATTCACTCATTTAATAAAACTCGTAGAAAGCAACACTACAAATTTACATGCTTTCCTAATCTTTTATCACCTAAAATATCCATATGAAAGTGCGGCACAACTTGTTCCCCGTTTCACCGCAGTTAGTAACTAATCTATATCCTGTTTTTTTCTAGGTTATATTTATAAGTTATCTCTCTTACAGTTTTAAAGAAGCCTACTATTTCCTCCGCAGAAGCTTTAAAAATAAAATCATCATATGAAATATATTGACTTTTCATTACAACTAAAATGTGAAATGGTGCATCAGGATACTTATCGTAAAATGCCAAGACATCCTCATCCTCATAAACCTTCTTGCAACTCACCCCTTAATATTTGAGCAAAGATGTTATTGCTATCATAGTATTTATTGCACATGCTTTAGAGGCACGACCACCTTTTTCTCTTCCTGGGTTCAGAACAGGTGTAGATGAAGGGCTCTCCACTTTACTGTTAGAGACATCTCCTTCAAAGCGTAGCCTTCTGCCCTTTATGTCCCCTACCAGATGTTTTACCTTTACCACAACCAATACCTCTAACTATTAATTTAGGCTTTTTTTTCTTCAATAATTCAGTAAATATAGAGTTTAACTTTATAACATTATTCATACTTTACCTGTTTCCGACTACCTCGCCAATCTTTTTACTTCTTTTGCTCGCTACTTGACGAGGAGATAACATATTATCAAAGACCTGTACATATAATACTGCACATATAACGTTATGAGGATTATTCGATCTAGTAGATTTAGCTACTACATCTTTTATGCCCAACACCTCAAAAACCGACCCAATCGATCCCCCAGCAATAATGCCTGTTCCAGCTCTAGCTGCTCTTAAAACTATTTCACCAGAGCAAAATTTAGCCTTAATATCATGGTGCAAAGTTCTACCTTCACGTAAATACACTCTAATCACCGATTTTTTTGCAGCATTTACAGCTTTTATCCTCCTATAGGAGAAATTAATGCAAAGCATTACTTATAAATTCTTTTACAGTTTCATAATTATTAGTTTCGCAGCGGTTGTAACATAATTCACTATTTTCTTTTGGTATTTTTATGTTAACTGTAAAATTCTTTTCTTGAGAAAGGCAGCTAACAAGCAGTTGTTGTCAGTAAATCTTCAGCTACAAATATTTAAGAAATCCACCAAGTAAGAAAAAGACAAAAGAAGCCCTAGTTAATATCTATTTAAAAACACTAGCGTTTTTTTTATGTTTTAAATACTTAATAATCGCGACTTAGTTGTTTTTTATTGCAACTAACCTTTAGTCATAAATGTTTTAGAAATTTACTAGGCAAAAAAAGGCAAAAGATATATTGTGGTAGATAGTATTTATTCTCTAATCCTGCAAATTAGCATATTATACTCCTAAACGCTTTATAAGCGAGTTTCAACTTATATAGGTAAAAAATTAGAAATATTGTGAAGACATAAGGTAATATAGTGCAAAAAATTAAACATAAGATGCTAACTATATAACACTTTATTATTTTAATCTGCACAGATTGAAGGTAACTTAATACCTCCAGTATCAGGATAAGGGGGCTAGCGGGGTTTGTTTTTTAATTGCATATTTTTTCTTAAGTAGTTAAATGGCCATTTTACAATGAGTTTTGTCAGTAACCACACTAAGTTTCTTGGTTGCTATGCAATAAAGTTCAGCAGCTATATATAACTTGAATTTATTTATGGTGTGCATTATGAGGTTGTCTTTCTTAGATTCAAAAATTACTGTCTACTTTACTCCATGAGAAGATTATGCTCAGCAAGTAATTAATACAATAGATCAATCTGAGAAATCCATTTTGGTTCAATAATACAAATTTACTCTTGAGAAAGTGGCTAATTCTCTAGTTGAAGCAAAAAAACGTAGCGTTGATATTAAAATTATTCTAGATAAATCATAGCACATTCAAAACATAGTGTTATGCACAAGTTATTTGAAGAAGGAATACCAATTTGGATTGATTACAATCCAGAAATCGCTCATAATAGAATATTAATTATGATGACCACAAGGTTATTACAGGGTCGTCCAATCTCAGTGATACAGCTGAAGAAAGGAATGCTGAAAAATTACTAACTATTGCGAGTGGGCGGTGCTGGTGGGAAAGCTGTGAACAACATGATCCAGTCTAATTTGCAAGGAGTGAATTTTGTTGTAGCAAATACCGATGCTGAAGCACTAGAAAAATCATTATGTGATAAGAAAATTCAGTTAGGTATTAATTTAACTAAGGGTCTTGATGCTGGTGCTTTGCCTGATGTTGGCAAGGGTGCAGCAGAAGAGTCAATGATGAGATAGATTATGGAGCATATAAAAGATAGCCATATGCTTTTCATCACGGCAGGGAGAGTGGTGGCACTGGAACAGGCGCAGCGCCAGTAATCGAAAAAGCAACAAGAGAGGCAAGAGCTGGAGTTAAGGATAAAGCGTCAAAAGAAAAAAAGATATTGACTGTTGGAGTTGTAACCAAACCATATTCCCTTTAAGTTCACTTAAAATTCTTTCTAGCGCCAAAAGATCGACAATACCCCCCTGATTGACGGGTATTATATGTGGATTGCACGCAGAATTAAGAATTGAGGGATGTTCTACAGCTGAAATCACATGTTGAAAGCCTGCTATCCCTTTCATAACAAGACTATTTGCTTCAGTTGCACCAGACGTAAAAACTATTTCCTTATTACTTGGAACGCCAATAGCACTACGAATGTTATCCCTTGCATCCTGAAGAATTCTTCTTGCTTCTTGTCCCTTTCTATGTAACGATGAAGGATTCAAAACCTGTTTTGATAGGACTTCAAGTATACTCTATTTTACACTGTCACTAACTGGAAAAGTTGCATTATAGTCAGCGTATATATAATCACTATTTTCTAAAGAAAATAAATTCAAATGTTCATTTGCCACTTAATTAGCCTACTATTAACTATATATTAGCTTGAACACGGTAAAAAGCTTGTTGCAAAAACAGTAAAATTAATACATAATTAATATATGCACAATTTATATATCTGTTAACAGGTTTTCATTAGGAGCTGCCGTGGTAGAAGTTTTTTTAAATAATGCAACAAAAAAAAAAAAAAATAGAAGGTGAGTACCACCAGAGCAAAGAGACCAACGCACTAGTTGTGTTAATTTTACATCATCACCCTCAATATGGTGACAGTATGGATAGTAAAATGATACATAGTATATACACATCTTTTGTAGATAACAATTTTTCTGCATTGAAAATTAACTTCCGTGGTGTTGGAAAATCCACTGGAACTTTCGATAAGGGTATAGGGGAGTTAACTGACGCCGCAATAGCCATTGATTGGCTTCAAGAACACAACCCTAGTAATGTTCCAATTTGGATCGTTGGTTTTTCCTTTGGAGCATGGGTAGCTATGCAACTGATAATGCGCAGACCTGAGATAGTAGGCTTTATTGCTTTTTTCCTTCCAGCAACAAAGTATGATTTCTCTTTTCTCTCCCCCTGTCCGGTTCCTGGGCTTATCATACAAAGCAGTAATGACACAATTTCAGAAGAAAGTGATGTAACAGAATTAGCAAACTCGTTTACCTCAAAATTGACATCCAAATCAGCTGGCAACTTCTTCACTATATCGTGTAAAGTATGTGCTGAAACTTTTACTTCTCCTTCTGTTGACACATCTGCAGCAAGTGAAGAAAATATTGAAATATCAAGATCAGTAGCCATTAATTTTATGCTGCCATGTTGTGCTTTAATATTTATACACGCCAAGATATCTATTGCATTACGCCTTTCGACCACTCCACTTACTCTGGACAGCGTACTTAAAAGACTTGTACGGTCTATGCTAAAACGCATTTGCTTACATACAGAACTTTGTTTTTTGATTTCTACATCTATACCCCCAACCTGTGACATTATCTATTCTTAAAAAATATTTCAAATGATATCCACATTCTACGTAAAGTGAAGTGCTTATTTATATTTTTACCGGAAGAGTGGTTTTTATACTATGGTTTAGCCTGAGATTACAACAGTTCACTTTACATAGCTGAAGCTCGAGCTTAGCATCTGGGTTGTGAAAGTAAAGCCTGGCTACGCACGTAATTTTCTTTTTCCACAAAGGAAAGCAGTGTAAGCAACCAAGGAAAGCATAGCAAAACTGGAGGAGCAGCGTTCCTTTCTAGAAGAGGAAAATATAAGAAAATTGAATTTGGCAAGTGAGCTAGCAGCTTCTCTTGCTGATAAGTTTGTAATATTGGTAAAGCAAGCTTCTGAGGATAGTAGCTTTCACGCAAGAATAACACTACAAGATAAGGATACGGCTATAAACTAAGCGAACTTTTAAATAGTAAATTCTATAAAGATAACAAAATCACTGATTTTTCAATATTAGATAATGATGACAGAAAAATTACAAATGTTTATGTTATTGAGAGTGGTGATGGTAAAAAAGTTAGAGTCAGATGTTATGACTTAGCTAATTCTTCTCTATGTGAATGTGAATTGCAGTTTAAATGGTACATCAATGGAAAAAAATGCAACATTGCATAGAGTTCTGAATTCTTTTCGCATGTCCAGGATAAGATTTTTTTACCGACACTACTGCTATTCTATAGGAACAACCCTCTGGCCTTATAGCTAAAACAAAAACAAAATGCAATACCTCAAAAACAACTTTTTTAATATCTCCAATATGCACGTTAACTAAAATTTAGCATAGAGGTTTTTCATTTTTCACCCATGTTATAACCCCAATATTCATTCCATGGAAGTAAAATTTTTCTATGATTAGACAATAAAATATTTTATTATTTACTAGAATAGTAATAATAGTTACTGACAGCAATATCAATTTATAGTATAAGTAATATTGTTTAGTTCTAAATGTATGGATTTTAGTTTCTCTCACAATTGATTTAGTACTGCAGGCAGTACAAATTCAAAAAATAACGATCGGATCACAGAATCTATAATAGAAGATGATGATGAGTTTGAGATTATTGATGAGTTTATAAGTCTTCGTGATTCAAATAAAACATATTCTTTATCTTCTTCTTACCAAATAGATGAAAGTATTGTAGGAACAGATGGGTAGAGTATGCCATAAAAGAGAAAAGAGATGTAACTGTTGCCATCATGGGTGGAAGGGTAGCAGAAGAGATAAGCGATGCATCTTCGAATATAAAACAAACGTCTACTTATCACGTGCCATGGTGACAAAATGAGGCATGAGTGACGAAGTAGGACCAGTATGTCACAGAATGTACATAGTTGTGACATAGTTTCTGAGGACACTCTGAAACTTAGAGATGAAGAAGTAAGTCTTGGTGTTATGAAAAGACAAGTTATATTTGTTAACTAAACGCTGCAAAGATCTGATTGATGAGAGTGAAATGAAAGATATATTAATAACGAAAGCAAAGAGAAAGAAAATCCTCCTTCTCTCTCTCTCTCTCTCTCCCTCTCCCATATAGGTTATATTGAACAATTTTCAGTTAATCAATGTTAAACTAATAGCAATTCTCAAAAGTAGTAGGAAAGCAAATTGATTTGTTGCCTATAACACTTATAAGTTCTTGAGTAAGCTTAAAAGTTCTTTATTTGTCTAGCTTTTAGCTGATAATAGAATTAGCATAATTTATTTAATAGTGAAATGAATATAATTAATAAAAAACATTGTTAATAGCAACCCTTACTTTGTTGTTGTCACGACAGTCTGGCGCAAGTGAAACAAAAGGATTTTACCTGAGTGGCAGGTATTATAGTCGATTTTTTTGCCAGCATGGGTAAGTTAAAACTAAAATCTGAAGATGCTAATTATAGAATTGCAACAGATTTTTGGAATGATGGTAGAGGTATACCAGAAGAATTGTATCACCTGGATAAACATAGCTGAGCTATAGTCCACCTTTTGCTGCAAGTATGGCATTTGGCAACCACAAAGTTGAATTAGAGGCACTTAAATAAAATTAAAATTGATAATTTACAACCAATTTCCTTGTTAAATGTACGAAAACTATTACAAATTTTAAAATTTTTAAAAAATTCAAAATTTAAATTTGAAATAAAATTTAATTTAAATTCTTAAATTGAAAGTTTTATTAATTTTGCTGATGATTTTTGCGCAAAACTTAATTACAAAAACGTATTTTAATATTTAAACTATAAAATGACCACACCATATATGACAAGCTCTAGTGCAAGGCATATAACATAATCAATTAAGTTCAAAATATTGCTATTTTTAGTAGTTTTGGCACTTAATTAAAATAAAAATTGATAATTTAGAACCAATTTCCTTTTTTAATGTATGAAAACTATCACAAATTTTAAAATTTTTAAAAAATTCAAAATTTAAATTTGAAATAAAATTTAATTTTAATTCTTAAATTGAATTAAAACCATTACTAATTGAAAGTTTTGTTAATTTTGCTGATGAATTTTGCGCAAAACCTCATTACAAAATTTTAATTCTTAATTTGAATTTAATTAATTTCACTTCTCTAATATTAAAAAAAATTTTGATTAATTTCATTTCTCTAATATTAAAAAAAAACTTAGTTATTAAAGTTTATTTTCTTATAATTGATTAATTTGTGTGCATTGCATAGGTGCTGGTCGCATACATCGTGGTCATTTGATCAGCAGAAATATTAAAATAAGCTTTAATAATTAAGTTTTAATCGATATTTGATTAGCAAAACTAATTAAATTTTTAATTTTTGACAGTTTTAATTCATTCTCACAATTATAATTAATTTTTATTTCAAATTTAAATTTTATGAAAATTTATTAATTTACTAGAATTTTGCATATTATTCTACAAAATAAATTCCAGCAATATCAAAAATTTATTTTAATTAATTTTTAATATATATATATATATATATATATATATATATATATATATATATATATATATATATATAAATATAAAAAAATATCAAGTCATTAAAAAAAGTAGATATTTTGAACTTAACTGACTAATTTTTATGCATTGCATGGGTACTGGTCACATAATTGTAATCATTTGACCAGCATAAATATTAAAATAAACTTTAATAATTAAGTTTTAACCAGTATTTGATTAGTAAAACTGATTAAATTTTTGATTTGTCACGTTTTCAATTCATTCTAACAATTAAAAATAATTTTTATTTCAAATATAAATATCAAATTTTAAGAAAATCGTATAATTTTTAAAAGTGTTTGTATATTAAACTGTGAAATAAATCCCGGGTTGGTCAAAATTTATTTTAATTAGATATTAAAATGTTAAAAAATATTAGATCGTTAAAAAAAAGTAATAGCAGCAGCAGCAGCAGCAGCAGCAGCAGCAGCAGCAGCAGCAGCAGCAGCAGCAGCAGCAGCAGCAGCAGCAGCAGCAGCAGCAGCAGCAGCAGCAGCAGCAGCAGCAGCAGCAGCAGCAGCAGCAGCAGCAGCAGCAGCAGCAGCAGCAGCAGCAGCAGCAGCAGCAGCAGCAGCAGCAGCAGCAGCAGCAGCAGTACTGATGATCTCTATGTCATCAGCAAGTGTTGCTATGAGTTTGTCTTGTTGCAACCGCAAGTGCTGCTATTCTTCTTGGTGTATTTGCAACTTGGTGGGAAATAGCAGTGGTAGATTATTACTCAAAAGCAATGCTTAAAAAGAATCAAAAGTGGAGAGAGATATGAGGAATTATTTGCCTTCTCAAAGAGTTCAAAAGCCTATATAAAAGGCACGCATATGACATTTGCAGATATTTTCAATCCGCAGGAAATTGCAGATCTAATCAGTTACTTGAGTGTCAAGTAAACGATAGTCAGGTTGCTATACCAAAATAACATGGATTACAGCATTACTTTGCTTGATGAAAACAGTAAGTACATAGCGCACATTGCGAGCTACAAAGGAAAAAAAAAAAAGCTTCCATAGTCTTTTTTGGTGGATTTTCATTCAATATGAAAGGAATTAGAACAGCTGCTATTTAAAAATTTTGTCAAGAAACTCATATAGCATTTGTGTTATTTGATTACTTTGGTCATGGTTATTGGTTAGTCAGGTGCTGATTATACTGATTACACGATGAGTGATTGGCAAAAAAATTGTGTTAGAGTAACTCGTAACGGCAAGCAAATAATTATAGGTTCAAGCATGAGACGGTGCCTGATGTTGCTCAATGCTCTCCAACTTTCAGAAAGAATTGCAGCACTAATTGGTGTATCGTCTGCTTCTGACTTTACTGAAGATTTAATATTCTATCAGTTATCCGAAAGCAAAAAGAAGAATTAGATTCTAAAGGAGTAATAGATTTTACTTCTGAATATACAAAATTTTCATTAAATATACAAAATAACTAAAAACTTGGTATAGAAGATGAAAATGGCAAAAAAAGCTTCTTTTAAATAAAGAGACAATAGATATATAAACTGCCCTATGCGTTTATTGACGATAATGCTATATTCCTTACCAACTTCGTTAAATTTAGTCAAGAAGTTGAGGTGCATCTGATGAAGACAGTAGGTAGAGAACATAACAATCGGTTCATTGGAATTTTTACTTCGGATGATTTGCAAGGCAACATTTTATTTGGGAGAGCGACCAGAACCGAACTAGACGCACTCAGTGCTGATGCCCTACCAATTGAGCCACACCCACTCGATTTATTCAGAGAGCCTTTTCAGGCTATGTAATTGCACATTAGTTTGGTATTCATTCATCGTAATGCAGGGAGGATTTTTTTGGGAAGAGCGAGCAGAACCAAACTAGCCGCACTCAGTACCATAAGCCGACGCTCTACCAACTGAGCTACACCAACCAAAGCACTGTGTCCCCTATACATAAGTACAAAAAGAAAGCAGCAAAAAAAGTCAATGGATTATTTAAGCAATTGACTATTAACTCTTTTACTTCAGACTGTATTGTTCCCCTGATAAAACAGTTGCAGAAGCAATTTCATTATTGAAAAATCTTTTGGTATTCCTGTGATTGATCAATGCAAGTTAGTCAGAGTTTTAATTAACAGAGATATAAGGTTTGTTGATGGTTAAAAAAATCAGAAAAAAGTATAAAAGTCCCCGAGGTAATGACGAAAGAGAAGTTAGTTACAATACGGGAGCGCTTCATGAGAATAGAATAGAAAAGCTTTTGGTCATAGATGAAAACACCTACTCTATAGATTTGATCACAGTTAAAGATATTAAGAAATACAATAGATACCCTAATTCATGTAATGATACTTAAGGGCGGCTCAGAGTTGCCGCTGCAGTTGGTACTGGTAAAAAGGGTGGTATAGAAAGATGTGAAACTATGGTCAGAGAAGAGATTGACGTAATTAATGTTGATGCAGGTGTTGATGCAATGAAGATTAGAATAGAACCTAGATCAACATGCACAACAAGTAGTGGGTGTAGGTGTGTCACAATTTTCTGTAATTCAAAACGTTACAAAAAACATGTAAAGCAAGAAAAGTAAGATTGACTATCAAATTTTAATTTAATTAAGTGTAAAAAATATTAAAAAAATACCAATTCATATTTAAAAAAATAGAAAATTAGAAACTAATTTAATATTTTATATGCATAGTGCGGAAACTGGTCACATACATTGTCATCACAGAAAAGTGAATTGGTAGATTACTTATCTTATCCAGTAGATTCCAACATTTATCTTTATTGGCTCGTTGCTGTTCCTTTTAAAAGAAACGCAAACAGATTAACACAAAAAGAAGGTAACAGAACTATAAGCTTTGGCAAATCAAAAGCTACGCTCATGACTAGTGGAGAAAAGTGACATTTGATAATGTTGCTGGGATTGATGAAGCAGAAGAAGAGTTAGTAGAAATCGTTCACTTTCTAGAGCAGAGATAAGAATTTCAAGTGTTAGGCGGGGAAATACCGAAAGGATTTCGGTAGAAGTATGCTTGCTTGTGCAGTTGCAGGTGAAGCTAATGTGCCTTTTTTAGTATTTCTGAATCTGAAATGTTCGTTAACGTTGGTGTAAGTGTGTGTTCTGATGGATTTGATCAGAGGTAAGAAAAATAGGTGTGAAATAGATGCGATGGGTAGATATCGTGATATTATTTGAAAAAGGTAAAAAAGAAAAAGCAAATTAGGAGAGGTTTAAGTGTGGAGAATGACTTAAGTGTAAACAGATGGTTATTTTCTACAAACGGTGTTGAAGCTGGCCTTACTCTTAGCAAAACCGGCCTTATTGCAGTGACTTTGTTGACAATTTCAATATGAACTTGATTGTTATCTTTAGCTTCAATTTCATTTATAATACTATACCTATCAGGCTCCTTTATAGCTATTTCTTGAAATCCTTTTCGAACCTTAGACTAATGTCCATCTCTTCATATTTGTTTTTATGCTTTGCTCTGCTCAGCCCAATTTGAATATCAATATCTAGGATAAATGTGCTATCTGGATATTTAATTTTTACTAACTCGTGTAGGTCTCGCATTAGCTCTAGGTCAACACCAAGTCCGTATCCTTGATATAAAGTAATTGAATCGATAAACGGGTCACAAATACTCACTATCTTTCCTTTTTTTAGAGCTGGCAGTATTACTTTTTCAACATGCTCATATCTCATTGAAATGAGTAGCAAGAGTTCGGAGACGGGATCGATGCTGTCCTCTTACCTTTTTTGCAAAGTCAGTGCTGCTTGGTTCTCGAGTCAATACCATATTTTTCATCGTGAATTTGCTTAAAATAATTTGCAAGCAACTCAGACTGTATTGTTTTACCAGAGCCGTCTATTGCTTCAAAAGTTATGAACATAAGTTTTAATTGTAATACCAAAAAAGGAGACGCAAATATTATACATAAGAACTGTTTGACATTTAAGTAAAATCACAAATTATAAGTTGTAATATTCTCTAAGCTACGGTTACTCTGAATAGTCCTAAGGTAGATTCTGACTTCACTGCAAAGAATTTTACTCTTCTGGGGTGGATAACAAATACTATACATTAAGTGATTGTTGTGGAAAAAATGGTTTTATTGTAAGCTTTATATGGAACAACTGTCCTTACGTACAATCAGTTATTAGTAACTCGGTAAGTGATATTGATTTGTTAAAAAAGGATTATCAGGTGAATACAATAATGCCAAATGATGTAAATGAATACCCAGAAGATTCCTTTGAAAATATGATTAATTTTGCCGAGGAAAATAAGTTTATATTTCCATATCTCTGATTGACAATAAACAGGAAGTAGCTAAAGAGTATGGTGCTGTTTATACTCCTGACTTTTTTGGCTTAGGCTTAGGCTTAGGCTTAGGCTTAGGCTTAGGCTTAGGCTTAGGCTTAGGCTTAGGCTTAGGCTTAGGCTTAGGCTTAGGCTTAGGCTTAGGCTTAGGCTTAGGCTTAGGCTTAGGCTTAGGCTTAGGCTTAGGCTTAGGCTTAGGCTTAGGCTTAGGCTTAGGCTTAGGCTTAGGCTTAGGCTTAGGCTTAGGCTTAGGCTTAGGCTTAGGCTTAGGCTTAGGCTTAGGGCTAGGCTTAGGCTTAGGCTTAGGCTTAGGCTTTTAGGCTTAGGCTTAGGCTTAGGCTTAGGCTTAGGCTTAGGCTTAGGCTTAGGCTTAGGCTTAGGCTTAGGCTTAGGCTTAGGCTTAGGCTTAGGCTTAGGCTTAGGCTTAGGCTTGTTAGGCTTAGGCTTAGGCTTAGGCTTAGGCTTAGGCTTAGGCTTAGGCTTAGGCTTAGGCTTAGGCTTAGGCTTAGGCTTAGGCTTAGGCTTAGGCTTAGGCTTAGGCTTAGGCTTAGGCTTAGGCTTAGGCTTAGGCTTAGGGCTTAGGCTTAGGCTTAGGCTTAGGCTTAGGCTTAGGCTTAGGCTTAGGCTTAGGCTTAGGGCTTAGGCTTAGGCTTAGGCTTAGGCTTAGGCTTAGGCTTAGGCTTAGGCTTAGGCTTAGGCTTAGGCTTAGGCTTAGGCTTAGGCTTAGGCTTAGGCTTAGGCTTAGGCTTAGGCTTAGGCTTAGGCTTAGGCTTAGGCTTAGGCTTAGGCTTAGGCTTAGGCTTAGGCTTAGGCTTAGCTTAGGCTTAGGCTTAGGCTTAGCTTAGGCTTAGGCTTAGGCTTAGGCTTAGGCTTAGGCTTAGGCTTAGGCTTAGGCTTAGGCTTAGCTTAGGCTTAGGCTTAGGCTTAGGCTTAGGCTTAGGCTTAGGCTTAGGCTTAGGCTTAGGCTTAGGCTTAGGCTTAGGCTTAGGCTTAGGCTTAGGCTTAGGCTTAGGCTTAGGCTTAGGCTTAGGCTTAGGCTTAGCTTAGCTTAGGCTTAGGCTTAGGCTTAGGCTTAGGCTTAGGCTTAGGCTTAGGCTTAGGCTTAGGCTTAGGCTTAGGCTTAGGTTAGCTTAGGCTTAGGCTTAGGCTTAGGCTTAGGCTTAGGCTTAGGCTTAGGCTTAGGCTTAGGCTTAGGCTTAGGCTTAGGCTTAGGCTTAGGCTTAGGCTTAGGCTTAGGCTTAGCTTAGGCTTAGGCTTAGGCTTAGGCTTAGGCTTAGGCTTAGGCTTAGGCTTAGGCTTAGGCTTAGGCTTAGGCTTAGGCTTAGGCTTAGGCTTAGGCTTAGGCTTAGGCTTAGCTTAGGCTTAGGCTTAGGCTTAGGCTTAGGCTTAGGCTTAGCTTAGGCTTAGGCTTAGGCTTAGGCTTAGGCTTAGGCTTAGGCTTAGGCTTAGGCTTAGGCTTAGGCTTAGGCTTAGGCTTAGGCTTAGGCTTAGGCTTAGGCTTAGGCTTAGGCTTAGGCTTAGGCTTAGGCTTAGGCTTAGGCTTAGGCTTAGGCTTAGGCTTAGGCTTAGGCTTAGGCTTAGGCTTAGGCTTAGGCTTAGGCTTAGGCTTAGGCTTAGGCTTAGGCTTAGGCTTAGGCTTAGGCTTAGGCTTAGGCTTAGGCTTAGGCTTAGGCTTAGGCTTAGGCTTAGCTTAGGCTTAGGCTTAGGCTTAGGCTTAGGCTTAGGCTTAGGCTTAGGCTTAGGCTTAGGCTTAGGCTTAGGCTTAGGCTTAGGCTTAGGCTTAGGCTTAGGCTTAGGCTTAGGCTTAGGCTTAGGCTTAGGCTTAGCTTAGGCTTAGGCTTAGGCTTAGGCTTAGGCTTAGGCTTAGGCTTAGGCTTAGGCTTAGGCTTAGGCTTAGGCTTAGGCTTAGGCTTAGGCTTAGGCTTAGGCTTAGGCTTAGGCTTAGGCTTAGGCTTAGGCTTAGGCTTAGGCTTAGGCTTAGGCTTAGGCTTAGGCTTAGGCTTAGGCTTAGCTTAGGCTTAGGCTTAGGCTTAGGCTTAGGCTTAGGCTTAGGCTTAGGCTTAGGCTTAGGCTTAGGCTTAGGCTTAGGCTTAGGCTTAGGCTTAGGCTTAGGCTTAGGCTTAGGCTTAGGCTTAGGCTTAGGCTTAGGCTTAGGCTTAGGCTTAGGCTTAGGCTTAGGCTTAGGCTTAGGCTTAGGCTTAGGCTTAGGCTTAGGCTTAGGCTTAGGCTTAGGCTTAGGCTTAGCTTAGGCTTAGGCTTAGGCTTAGGCTTAGGCTTAGGCTTAGGCTTAGGCTTAGGCTTAGGCTTAGGCTTAGGCTTAGGCTTAGGCTTAGGCTTAGGCTTAGGCTTAGGCTTAGGCTTAGGCTTAGGCTTAGGCTTAGGCTTAGGCTTAGGCTTAGGCTTAGGCTTAGGCTTAGGCTTAGGCTTAGGCTTAGGCTTAGGCTTAGGCTTAGGCTTAGGCTTAGGCTTAGGCTTAGGCTTAGGCTTAGGCTTAGGCTTAGGCTTAGGCTTAGGCTTAGGCTTAGGCTTAGGCTTAGGCTTAGCTTAGGCTTAGGCTTAGGCTTAGGCTTAGGCTTAGGCTTAGGCTTAGGCTTAGGCTTAGGCTTAGGCTTAGGCTTAGGCTTAGGCTTAGGCTTAGGCTTAGGCTTAGGCTTAGGCTTAGGCTTAGGCTTAGGCTTAGGCTTAGGCTTAGGCTTAGGCTTAGCTTAGGCTTAGGCTTAGGCTTAGGCTTAGGCTTAGGCTTAGGCTTAGGCTTAGGCTTAGGCTTAGGCTTAGGCTTAGGCTTAGGCTTAGGCTTAGGCTTAGGCTTAGGCTTAGGCTTAGGCTTAGGTTTAGGCTTAGGCTTAGGCTTAGGCTTAGGCTTAGCTTAGGCTTAGGCTTAGGCTTAGGCTTAGGCTTAGGCTTAGGCTTAGGCTTAGGCTTAGGCTTAGGCTTAGGCTTAGGCTTAGGCTTAGGCTTAGGCTTAGGCTTAGGCTTAGGCTTAGGCTTAGGCTTAGGCTTAGGCTTAGGCTTAGGCTTAGGCTTAGGCTTAGGCTTAGGCTTAGGCTTAGGCTTAGGCTTAGGCTTAGGCTTAGGCTTAGGCTTAGGCTTAGGCTTAGCTTAGGCTTAGGCTTAGGCTTAGGCTTAGGCTTAGGCTTAGGCTTAGGCTTAGGCTTAGGCTTAGGCTTAGGCTTAGGCTTAGGCTTAGGCTTAGGCTTAGGCTTAGGCTTAGGCTTAGGCTTAGGCTTAGGCTTAGGCTTAGGCTTAGGCTTAGGCTTAGGCTTAGGCTTAGGCTTAGGCTTAGGCTTAGGCTTAGGCTTAGGCTTAGGCTTAGGCTTAGGCTTAGGCTTAGGCTTAGGCTTAGGCTTAGGCTTAGGCTTAGGCTTAGGCTTAGGCTTAGGCTTAGGCTTAGGCTTAGGCTTAGGCTTAGGCTTAGCTTAGGCTTAGGCTTAGGCTTAGGCTTAGGCTTAGGCTTAGGCTTAGGCTTAGGCTTAGGCTTAGGCTTAGGCTTAGGCTTAGGCTTAGGCTTAGGCTTAGGCTTAGGCTTAGGCTTAGGCTTAGGCTTAGGCTTAGGCTTAGGCTTAGGCTTAGGCTAGGCTTAGGCTTAGGCTTAGGCTTAGGCTTAGGCTTAGGCTTAGGCTTAGGCTTAGGCTTAGGCTTAGGCTTAGGCTTAGGCTTAGGCTTAGGCTTAGGCTTAGGCTTAGGCTTAGGCTTAGGCTTAGGCTTAGGCTTAGGCTTAGGCTTAGGCTTAGGCTTAGGCTTAGGCTTAGGCTTAGGCTTAGGCTTAGGCTTAGGCTTAGGCTTAGGCTTAGCTTAGGCTTAGGCTTAGGCTTAGGCTTAGGCTTAGGCTTAGGCTTAGGCTTAGGCTTAGGCTTAGGCTTAGGCTTAGGCTTAGGCTTAGGCTTAGGCTTAGGCTTAGGCTTAGGCTTAGGCTTAGGCTTAGGCTTAGGCTTAGGCTTAGGCTTAGGCTTAGGCTTAGGCTTAGGCTTAGGCTTAGGCTTAGCTTAGGCTTAGGCTTAGCTTAGGCTTAGGCTTAGGCTTAGGCTTAGGCTTAGGCTTAGGCTTAGGCTTAGGCTTAGGCTTAGGCTTAGGCTTAGGCTTAGGCTTAGGCTTAGGCTTAGGCTTAGGCTTAGCTTAGGCTTAGGCTTAGGCTTAGGCTTAGGCTTAGGCTTAGGCTTAGGCTTAGCTTAGGCTTAGGCTTAGGCTTAGGCTTAGGCTTAGGCTTAGGCTTAGGCTTAGGCTTAGGCTTAGGCTTAGGCTAGGCTTAGGCTTAGGCTTAGGCTTAGGCTTAGGCTTAGGCTTAGGCTTAGGCTTAGGCTTAGGCTTAGGCTTAGGCTTAGGCTTAGTTAGCTTAGGCTTAGGCTTAGGCTTAGGCTTAGGCTTAGGCTTAGGCTTAGGCTTAGGCTTAGGCTTAGGCTTAGGCTTAGGCTTAGGCTTAGGCTTAGGCTTAGGCTTAGGCTTAGGCTTAGGCTTAGGCTTAGGCTTAGGCTTAGGCTTAGGCTTAGCTTAGGCTTAGGCTTAGGCTTAGGCTTAGGCTTAGGCTTAGGCTTAGGCTTAGGCTTAGCTTAGGCTTAGGCTTAGGCTTAGGCTTAGGCTTAGGCTTAGGCTTAGGCTTAGGCTTAGGCTTAGGCTTAGGCTTAGGCTTAGGCTTAGGCTTAGGCTTAGGCTTAGCTTAGGCTTAGGCTTAGGCTTAGCTTAGGCTTAGGCTTAGGCTTAGGCTTAGGCTTAGGCTTAGGCTTAGGCTTAGGCTTAGGCTTAGGCTTAGGCTTAGGCTTAGGCTTAGGCTTAGGCTTAGCTTAGGCTTAGGCTTAGGCTTAGGCTTAGGCTTAGGCTTAGCTTAGCTTAGGCTTAGGCTTAGGCTTAGGCTTAGGCTTAGGCTTAGGCTTAGGCTTAGGCTTAGGCTTAGGCTTAGGCTTAGGCTTAGGCTTAGGCTTAGGCTTAGGCTTAGGCTTAGGCTTAGGCTTAGGCTTAGGCTTAGGCTTAGGCTTAGGCTTAGGCTTAGGCTTAGGCTTAGGCTTAGGCTTAGGCTTAGGCTTAGGCTTAGTGCTTAGGCTTAGGCTTAGGCTTAGGCTTAGGCTTAGGCTTAGGCTTAGGCTTAGGCTTAGGCTTAGGCTTAGGCTTAGGCTTAGGCTTAGGCTTAGGCTTAGGCTTAGGCTTAGGCTTAGGCTTAGGCTTAGGCTTAGGCTTAGGCTTAGGCTTAGGCTTAGGCTTAGGCTTAGGCTTAGGCTTAGGCTTAGGCTTAGGCTTAGGCTTAGGCTTAGGCTTAGGCTTAGGCTTAGGCTTAGGCTTAGGCTTAGGCTTAGGCTTAGGCTTAGGCTTAGGCTTAGGCTTAGGCTTAGGCTTAGGCTTAGGCTTAGGCTTAGGCTTAGGCTTAGCTTAGGCTTAGGCTTAGGCTTAGGCTTAGGCTTAGGCTTAGGCTTAGGCTTAGGCTTAGGCTTAGGCTTAGGCTAGGTTAGGCTTAGGCTTAGGCTTAGGCTTAGGCTTAGGCTTAGGCTTAGGCTTAGGCTTAGGCTTAGGCTTAGGCTTAGGCTTAGGCTTAGGCTTAGGCTTAGGCTTAGGCTTAGGCTTAGGCTTAGGCTTAGGCTTAGGCTTAGGCTTAGGCTTAGGCTTAGGCTTAGGCTTAGGCTTAGGCTTAGGCTTAGGCTTAGGCTTAGGCTTAGGCTTAGGCTTAGGCTTAGGCTTAGGCTTAGGCTTAGGCTTAGGCTTAGGCTTAGGCTTAGGCTTAGCTTAGGCTTAGGCTTAGGCTTAGGCTTAGGCTTAGGCTTAGGCTTAGGCTTAGGCTTAGGCTTAGGCTTAGGCTTAGGCTTAGGCTTAGGCTTAGGTTAGGTTAGGCTTAGGCTTAGGCTTAGGCTTAGGCTTAGGCTTAGGCTTAGGCTTAGGCTTAGGCTTAGGCTTAGGCTTAGGCTTAGGCTTAGGCTTAGGCTTAGGCTTAGGCTTAGGCTTAGGCTTAGGCTTAGGCTTAGGCTTGGCTTAGGTTAGGCTTAGGCTTAGGCTTAGGCTTAGGCTTAGGCTTAGGCTTAGGCTTAGGCTTAGGCTTAGGCTTAGGCTTAGGCTTAGGCTTAGGCTTAGGCTTAGGCTTAGGCTTAGGCTTAGCTTAGGCTTAGGCTTAGGCTTAGGCTTAGGCTTAGGCTTAGGCTTAGGCTTAGGCTTAGGCTTAGGCTTAGGCTTAGGCTTAGGCTTAGGCTTAGGCTTAGGCTTAGGCTTAGGCTTAGGTTAGCTTAGGCTTAGGCTTAGGCTTAGGCTTAGGCTTAGGCTTAGGCTTAGGCTTAGGCTTAGGCTTAGGCTTAGGCTTAGGCTTAGGCTTAGGCTTAGGCTTAGGCTTAGGTTAGGCTTAGGCTTAGGCTTAGGCTTAGGCTTAGGCTTAGGCTTAGGCTTAGGCTTAGGCTTAGGCTTAGGCTTAGGCTTAGGCTTAGGCTTAGGCTTAGGCTTAGGCTTAGCTTAGGCTTAGGCTTAGGCTTAGGCTTAGGCTTAGGCTTAGGCTTAGGCTAGGCTTAGGCTTAGGCTTAGGCTTAGGCTTAGGCTTAGGCTTAGGCTTAGGCTTAGGCTTAGGCTTAGGCTTAGGCTTAGGCTTAGGCTTAGGCTTAGCTTAGGCTTAGGCTTAGGCTTAGCTTAGGCTTAGGCTTAGGCTTAGGCTTAGGCTTAGGTTAGGCTTAGGCTTAGCTTAGGCTTAGGCTTAGGCTTAGGCTTAGGCTTAGGCTTAGGCTTAGGCTTAGGCTTAGGCTTAGGCTTAGGCTTAGGCTTAGGCTTAGGCTTAGGCTTAGGCTTAGGCTTAGGCTTAGGCTTAGGCTTAGCTTAGGCTTAGGCTTAGGCTTAGGCTTAGGCTTAGGCTTAGGCTTAGGCTTAGGCTTAGGCTTAGGCTTAGGCTTAGGCTTAGGCTTAGGCTTAGGCTTAGGCTTAGCTAGGCTTAGGCTTAGGCTTAGGCTTAGGCTTAGGCTTAGCTTAGGCTTAGGCTTAGGCTTAGGCTTAGGCTTAGGCTTAGGCTTAGGCTTAGCTTAGGCTTAGGCTTAGGCTTAGGCTTAGGCTTAGGCTTAGGCTTAGGCTTAGGCTTAGGCTTAGGCTTAGGCTTAGGCTTAGGCTTAGGCTTAGGCTTAGGCTTAGGCTTAGGCTTAGGCTTAGGCTTAGGCTTAGGCTTAGGCTTAGGCTTAGCTTAGGCTTAGTAGGCTTAGGCTTAGGCTTAGGCTTAGGCTTAGGCTTAGGCTTAGGCTTAGGCTTAGGCTTAGGCTTAGGCTTAGGCTTAGGCTTAGGCTTAGGCTTAGGCTTAGGCTTAGGCTTAGGCTTAGGCTTAGGCTTAGGCTTAGGCTTAGGCTTAGGCTTAGGCTTAGGCTTAGGCTTAGGCTTAGGCTTAGGCTTAGGCTTAGGCTTAGGCTTAGGCTTAGGCTTAGGCTTAGGCTTAGGCTTAGGCTTAGGCTTAGGCTTAGGCTTAGGCTTAGGCTTAGGCTTAGGCTTAGGCTTAGCTTAGGCTTAGGCTTAGGCTTAGGCTTAGGCTTAGGCTTAGGCTTAGGCTTAGGCTTAGGCTTAGGCTTAGGCTTAGGCTTAGGCTTAGCTTAGGCTTAGGCTTAGGCTTAGGCTTAGGCTTAGGCTTAGGCTTAGGCTTAGGCTTAGGCTTAGGCTTAGGCTTAGGCTTAGGCTTAGGCTTAGGCTTAGGCTTAGGCTTAGGCTTAGGCTTAGGCTTAGGCTTAGGCTTAGGCTTAGGCTTAGGCTTAGGCTTAGGCTTAGGCTTAGGCTTAGGCTTAGGCTTAGGCTTAGGCTTAGGCTTAGGCTTAGGCTTAGGCTTAGGCTTAGGCTTAGGCTTAGGCTTAGGCTTAGGCTTAGGCTTAGGCTTAGGCTTAGCTTAGGCTTAGGCTTAGGCTTAGGCTTAGCTTAGGCTTAGGCTTAGGCTTAGGCTTAGGCTTAGGCTTAGGCTTAGGCTTAGGCTTAGGCTTAGGCTTAGGCTTAGGCTTAGGCTTAGGGCTTAGGCTTAGGCTTAGGCTTAGGTTAGGCTTAGGCTTAGGCTTAGGCTTAGGCTAGGCTTAGGCTTAGGCTTAGGCTTAGGCTTAGGCTTAGGCTTAGGCTTAGGCTAGCTTAGGCTTAGCTTAGGCTTAGGCTTAGGCTTAGGCTTAGGTTAGGCTTAGGCTTAGCTTAGGCTTAGGCTTAGGCTTAGGCTTAGGCTTAGGCTTAGGCTTAGGCTTAGGCTTAGGCTTAGGCTTAGGCTTAGGCTTAGGCTTAGGCTTAGGCTTAGGCTTAGGCTTAGCTTAGCTTAGGCTTAGGCTTAGGCTTAGGCTTAGGCTTAGGCTTAGGCTTAGGCTTAGGCTTAGGCTTAGGCTTAGGCTTAGGCTTAGGCTTAGGCTTAGGCTTAGGCTTAGGCTTAGCTTAGGCTTAGGCTTAGGCTTAGGCTTAGGCTTAGGCTTAGGCTTAGGCTTAGGCTTAGGTTAGGCTTAGGCTTAGGCTTAGGCTTAGGCTTAGGCTTAGGCTTAGGCTTAGGCTTAGGCTTAGGCTTAGGCTTAGGCTAGGTTAGGTTTAGGCTTAGGCTTAGGCTTAGCTTAGGCCTTAGGCTTAGGCTTAGGCTTAGGCTTAGGCTTAGCTTAGGCTTAGGCTTAGCTTAGGCTTAGGCTTAGGCTTAGGCTTAGGCTTAGGCTTAGGCTTAGGCTTAGGCTTAGGCTTAGGCTTAGGCTTAGGCTTAGGCTTAGGCTTAGGCTTAGGCTTAGGCTTAGGCTTAGGCTTAGGCTTAGGCTTAGGCTTAGGCTTAGGCTTAGGCTTAGGCTTAGGCTTAGGCTTAGGCTTAGGCTTAGGCTTAGGCTTAGGCTTAGGCTTAGGCTTAGGCTTAGGCTTAGGCTTAGGCTTAGCTTAGGCTTAGCTTAGGCTTAGGCTTAGGCTTAGGCTTAGGCTTAGGCTTAGGCTTAGGCTTAGGCTTAGGCTTAGCTTAGGCTTAGGCTTAGCTTAGGCTTAGGCTTAGGCTTAGGCTTAGGCTTAGGCTTAGGCTTAGGCTTAGGCTTAGGCTTAGGCTTAGGCTTAGGCTTAGGCTTAGGCTTAGGCTTAGGCTTAGGCTTAGGCTTAGGCAGCTTAGCTTAGGCTTAGGCTTAGGCTTAGGCTTAGGCTTAGGCTTAGGCTTAGGCTTGGCTTAGGCTTAGGCTTAGGCTTAGGCTTAGGCTTAGGCTTAGGCTTAGGCTTAGGCTTAGGCTTAGGCTTAGGCTTAGGCTTAGGCTTAGGCTTAGGCTTAGGATTAGGCTTAGGCTTAGGCTTAGGCTTAGGCTTAGGCTTAGGCTTAGGCTTAGGCTTAGGCTTAGGCTTAGGCTTAGGCTTAGGCTTAGGCTTAGGCTTAGGCTTAGGCTTAGGCTTAGGCTTAGCTTAGGCCTTAGGCTTAGGCTTAGGCTTAGGCTTAGGCTTAGGCTTAGGCTTAGGCTTAGACTTAGGCTTAGGCTTAGGCTTAGGCTTAGGCTTAGGCTTAGGCTTAGGCTTAGGCTTAGGCTTAGGCTTAGGCTTAGGCTTAGGCTTTAGGCTTAGGCTTAGGCTTAGGCTTAGGCTTAGGCTTAGGCTTAGGCTTAGGCTTAGGCTTAGGCTTAAGGCTTAGGCTTAGGCTTAGGCTTAGGCTTAGGCTTAGGCTTAGGCTTAGGCTTAGGCTTAGGCTTAGGCTTAGGCTTAGGCTTACGGTTAGGCTTAGGCTTAGGCTTAGGCTTAGGCTTAGGCTTAGGCTTAGGCTTAGGCTTAGCTTAGGCTCTTAGGCTTAGGCTTAGGCTTAGGCTTAGTTTAGGCTTAGGTTAGCTTAGGCTTAGGCTTAGGCTTAGGCTTAGGCTTAGCTTGCTTAGGCTTAGGCTTAGGCTTAGGCTTAGGCTTAGGCTTAGGCTTAGCTTAGGCTTAGGCTTAGGCTTAGGCTAGGCTTAGGCTTAGGCTTAGGCTTAGGCTTAGGCTTAGGCTTAGGCTTAGGCTTAGGCTTAGGCTTAGGCTTAGGCTTAGGCTTGGCTTAGGCTTAGGCTTAGGCTTAGGCTTAGGCTTAGGCTTAGGCTTAGGCTTAGGCTTAGGCTTAGGCTTAGCTTAGGCTTAGGCTTAGGCTTAGGCTTAGGCTTAGGCTTAGGCTTAGGCTTAGGCTTAGGCTTAGGCTTAGGCTTAGGCTTAGGCTTAGGCTTAGCCTTGGCTTAGGCTTAGGCTTAGGCTTAGGCTTAGGCTTAGGCTTAGGCTTAGGCTTAGGCTTAGGCTTAGGCTTAGGCTTAGGCTTAGGCTTAGGCTTAGGCTTAGGCTTAGGCTT